ACAAGGCCCTTCCTCCAGAGCCAACACAGACAAAGTTTGCCCCTACAGCCAGCCAGCACCTTGAATTTGGACTTGTAAGCCTCTGACACTGTCGAGAAAATAAACTTCTGCTTGTTAAAGCTAAAATAAATAAATAAATACATAAAAGGGGAAACTGGGTGCAGAGTATATAAAGGAACTCTCTGTACTATATTCAACTGTTTGGTAATTCTAAAGCTGTTCTGAAACAAAACGTTGGAAACAGTGATGTAAGAGCTTTTACAAAAGTATCTTTAAATTTCAAAAACAAGTGGTATTTTCAGGTAAGCTGATACAGTCTAAACCAAAGTGGGTACACTTACTCCTCACTATCTTATTATCTGACATTCATATTTACAACAATAGTTAAAAAAAAAAAAAAAAAAACCTATCCAACTATTTTATGCATTTATGTACATCTGGCATAAGCCGAGGTGTGAGGCAAGATAATACTGGCTGTAATAGTTATATGTCAACCTGGCTGGGCCATGATTCTCTGTGGTTTGGCAATTATATAATGATGTGATATGGCAGTTATGTGATGGTGTCATCATTCTTTTTGTGATCTGATATGGTCACCCTCCATTTTTGCAGATGAATTTACACCTAACAGCCTTGTCTTTGGAACCTCACCATTTCAGTAAGTTGAGTAGGGATATAAGAAACAGAAAACCAGTACTATGGGAGGAAAAATTAAGAACCTTATCTGTATTTTAGCAACAAAATCACTAACAATAAAAATATTTTCCCAAACTTAATGGACATTTCTTTCAAAATTTCAAAGCAAGTAGAAAAAACTTTCCAAGTTTTCAGCTCAAAAATATTTTCTAAAGAAAATTTAGACCCTAACAGTTAATAGAAAGGCAAAGAAATATGGTTATTGAATGGAAATTTAATAAATTATTTTAGTTATCATTTTTAGATAGGAATATGGAAAAACAATTTGATCCCTTTCAGAGACATGAGATTAATATCATTCAGCTATTACAAATATTTAGCCAAACTAAGTATCTGAAATATTAAATATTTTACTTGTTTTGAAATTACATAGTGGGCTATTTAAAAGGAAGCAAATGTTGAGGAATAAAAATCTACCACAAAAATTTTCACAGAACCCTGCCTTATACCTCACAGAAAGTAAGTATCACATGAATTACAGAACTATTAAAAAGAAAAATATAAAAATATTGTATGAAAATTTAGTTGAATAAATTTTAACCACCTTAAGATTAAGGAAAAACTTGCAAATGATACCAGATACATAATCTACAAAGTGAGTGAAAACTGATGCCTCTTGATCACGTTTTGATGGCTCACAGTGAGTTCCCTCCCACCATAAAATTACATGTATACCCACTCCTAATTATCAATATGGTTAGGTTGTTATGCGAAAATCAGTCACTATGTGAAAATGGAAGATAACTACATCAGAGCACAAAACTGAGGATGACTACATAATTACATAACTGCCAAGTTTCATCACTACATAACTGCCAAACCATGGAGAATCACGGTTTGGCCAAGCTGACACACTATCACAGCTAGTGTTACCTTTGCCTCGTACTTCAATGTTCATTAACTGCCAGACGTACATTATTAGCGTGCAAGATAGTCTGACGTACTTTTTACTATTATTGTAAATACGAAATGTCAGATAGAAGAAAGTGAGAAGTAGATGTATTTTATTCTGAATTTTGGTTCAGAGAATTTTTCAAGTTGCCTTGTTTTCTCTTTTCCAAAAATTTTGTATTGTGATAAAATATCTAATATAAAACTTGCCATTTTAATCACTTTTCAGTGTATAATTCAGTGACATTACTCACTCACTCAGGAGCCCTGGTGGTATAGTAGCTACATGCTCAGATGCTAACCAAAAGGTGGAAAGTTCAAACCCACCAGCCATTCCACAGGAGAAAGATGTGGCAGTCTGCTTCCATAAAGAGCCTTGGAAACCCTATGGGGCAGTTCAACCCTGTCCTAAGAGGTTGCTATGAGTTAGAATCAACTTAAAAATAACAATTTAATTACTCACAATGTTTTTTTATAAAGCTTTTGAGTTAGCTACCCAGAAAAACTATCATCAGTTGCCATCATTTAAAAATTGAATGCTAACGTAAAAATACTGACTTCAGCTTCTCCTGAAAAAGATGGGACAATCTGAGAATACATTTCCCAATGACAACAAACCATTTAAATGGCTTCCCCTTTAGAAGGGGTACCTATATCCTACCCTATCAGAATCCAACCCCAACTCCCAAAGTCAGGCCTATCTCACTTATGTTAGCTGCTTAGTTTCCATAATCATTTGACTTTCCATAAACGAAGTAACAGATCTGAGTAAAATGTCTATGAGGCAAAAAGTCAGTCAATCCATAGCCAACCAGATGACAGGACTACAAACCACACAAAAAGACTAGTAGCAAACACTGAATATATTTAACTGTAGAAATAAGACTAAAACTAATGTTGGGATTAAATCAAAAGAATACACTATAAATGTTCTATTATTTCTACATTACCTGAGGATATAACCAACAAAAACTGGATGTGGCAGGGGAAAAAGACAGGAAAGGAAGTAGGGCAAATTAACTGATAGCTGTAAGTCAGAAAGTATTACTTTAAGTAACAGCAGAAGTAAAAGCTGGTATTAAAGTACAGCAAATGTTATTACCAGCAAGACTACTATGATGTAGCTGTGACTGCCCATTCAGAGGAGCTAGTCCATAACTTTGACTGAGACTGGGATTTGTATAACTTAAGATCATAGTATACCACAAGCTGCCTCACATTAAAGCAAAGGTTCTTTTAGTATTACCACTTAATTCAGAAATTGAGTAATCATATATAAATTCTTGTAAACTTTTTGTTTGACAGCTTCTAATGCGGAGATTCTCAGATAAATGATACAATTTCACATAAATAGGCTACTGTAGTATAGTGAATTACTTGGTATAGCTCTTCTTGCCATGGTCTTTGTGACTCCCACCAGGTTACTAGGTGGAACTATGCAAATATAAGATGTTTGTGGGCCACCAAGAGGACTGGATAGCTTGTTAGTCACATAAATAAGGTACATGGCACTCTTGTAGCAGTAGAACAATGGAAATAAGGTATACAGAACTCTAATGTAGGGATTAGGGTTTTGTCATTTTACTAGGTTTAAATGAGCCCTCTCAAGAAGTGGAAAAGAGAGAAATCTCACTGCCATCAAGACAGAAGAGCCAAAGGTGGACCAGAGCACTTCTTTGGACCCAAGATCACTGCGCTGCACCTCCTGGGCAGAGACAACAGCAGCAACAGAACTGAGAGACCACCATAAGACAAATAGCAGGCTAGCTTGCCCACAGAGTGAAAAAGGTAAGTGCCTCTGGGCAAGAGGCTTGCTACTGGAGTGTGGTGCACTTATCAGCAGAGCTAAAAGAGCTTTGTAACACTTGCCCAAGCAGGGCAGAGGCCAGGCCAAGGGCCAGAGAGGTGTGCCTGAGGCCACAGAAGAAGAGAGACTGACCTCACCAAAGAATTGTAACCTGAGCATGTTCTTGAACCTGAATTGTACCCTTACTTCCCTAATAAACCTCATAACTCTGAATATTGTTTGTGAGTTCTGTGTAGGCACTGTCACAAATTATCAAACCCAGCACACAAACAGTGCCATGGGAGGGATGGCTGTTGTCAGAGCTAGTAAAAGTGCTGGAGAGTGGTAGCATGTCCAGTCTCAAAGGAGTAAGCCTTGGGCTGCTGATGATGACTGTCTCACTCTCATGAAATTAGAGGATGCCGCCAGTGCACCCTTTTTGCAACCAGACAACCCTTTGGAAAGAAAGCTGACTGATAAAGAGTCAACAACCAATAAACTCCAAGAAGCAGACCTAAAATCAAAGATATAAGAACAAGAAATTAGGCATAGCCTACAATCTTTCATTACAGTGAAAATCCAATAGCTACTGTGAAGGTAACAACTAAAGTAGATTTCATTTTTCTTAAAAAAAAAAAAAGGATTAAGCAACATAATCAAGGCCGAGATAACCTAATACAATAAAGATAATAATAAAAAGCTTAAATTAAGTCCCCAGCAATACACTGTTGTTCGTTTTGCTGTTAGTAGCTGTCAAGTCAATTCCAATTCACGGAGACCCCCATGTATGTACAGTAGAACTGCTCCATAGGGTTTTCAAGGTTGTGCCCTTTTGGAAGCAGATCAACAGGCCCATCTTTTGAGGCAGCTATGGGAGCTCTGGTAGCATAGTGGCTAAGACACTTGCCTGCTAACCAGACGGCTGGCGGTTCAAACCCACCAGCCACTCCTCGGAAGGAAGGTTGGGCAATCCTACTTCCGTAGTGATACTGCCTCGGAAACCCAAGGAGGGGTCGCTATGAGTCGGGCCAACTCGACGGCACATAACAACAACAACAACATAGGTGAGTTCAAACTATCAACCTTTCAGCTAGTGATCAAGTGCTTAACCATTTGTATCACTAGGGACCTAGTAATACATTAAACATATAAAACATAAATTTGTAGCCTCATAATGAGAGAGAAAATAATCTTCTATCATAGATCTAAATACATCACTAAGTATATAAAGACAAGTAGACCCCCCAAAAAGCAACTGAAACAATGAAAAGTAGAAGGGAAAAATCTTAGGTGATAAGAGAAAACACAACTTTCTTACAGTGAAACGCTTTTGTTTAATGCAAAGATACTATGCTTCACAAAATCAAGACAGTATCTTCAGAGGTGAAAATGTTTCCCTTAGGATAAAGAACATCTAGATATGTTAAGAGAAAGAAATAGGGAAGAGAAGAAAAAAATGCAAGCTGAAGCTAAGTCCTGAAAGAAATTAAATAAAGGAGAAAAAGATGGGGGGGCGGGAAGAGAAGGGAGTGTAGAAGTTGGAAAAAAGGGGAGATGGTAGGAAGAAGGAAAAAGGAAAATGGAGTAGGAGAAGAAACTGGCCTACAATCTTTTAGGGAGTGATTACCTTCTTGAAGACCAGGATGTATCACCTGCTTATGACGCAAAGACTTCAAATCTTCTATCAAATCCTTTTCCAACTGGGAAATTCTTGCTCTGCAACCTGCTCAGAAGACAAATGAAGATCAAACATGCTATTATACACTGAGATGGAATGCTGCCCTCTTTGCTCCTAGAATCCAAACCACAAACAAATTTCTCTTCTTTATGCTATTATGTAATACCTGAATCATTTGTGGTTGATGCCTGAAGACTAGAGGGTTCTTCTGTTGTCCCATCAACTGCATGAATGTCCAGAGCTTCCTATTTAAAAAAAAAAAATTTAAAAAAAAGTTTTTGTGCTGTAGTACATGTTACTAAACCAAGTATTTAACTCTACACACGCATCACATACACAAATGAATACATTCACAAAAACTAGATTCTAAGTTGGTTATCAGCCAGTATACAATTTAATAACAACTACTTAGCATTAGTTTAGCATTCTTAGAAAGAATGCTGAAAATGGCATCTTACCTTCGAGTCAAAAGAAACAAACAGAACACCATCCACATCTTCCAGATCAGGCTTCACATCTGGAAAGGTACTTCCATGGCCCACAGGAGTATTCTTTGTAGAAGTTAAAGACTTCCCAGTGTTTTTAGGTGGTCGCCCTGCCTTAGAGAGTTTCAATTTCCGTGGCCTCCCTCTCTTCCCAGAGATATTTGGAGAGGTATTCTGACTAACATTCACAGCCTTTGGGGCTGTTGCAATCTTAATCAATGTTGTTCTCTTTCTGCCCAAGTCCTCTTTTCCTGAAAATGAATCCGCAGATGAACTCTTTGAACTATTATCATATGTTCCTTCCGTGCTAATGCTGTCAGATATATCAGGGTATTTCCACTGAGGCTCTTTAAATAAGGGGTATTTTTCTATCACTCTGAAATCCGGTGAATACTTTCTAAGACCATTTTCTGATTCCTTGCCTAAGCAGAAACCAGTCTCAATGGAATTTTCAATGTATGTAGGGAAATAGTCTAATTCTGCCAACACGGAAGACTTATCCTTCCGAGATGTGGAAAGCATGTTATCAGGCAGCTCAGAAATCTTCACTGTGCTTTTTGTGACAGCACAAGGCTCCAGGTAGACTACTGGCATCTTTCCAGTGTCTAATTTGAACATTTTAGCTTTAGCAACACCTGATGGGCTGCTTGGTAGCCATTTAGAAGACGGATGGTCAGCTTCTACGTTATCAACTTTACTGTGCCTCTTTAGCTGTTTCTCTAGTATGGGATCATCATCACTGTTTGAGTATACATCCGTTTCCTCATCTGTCTCTTCCTGTTTGACAGTAACACCTTCTGGGCACTCACCAAGTTCATAGTCATAATCATCTAGAGGTTCCTCTTTAATGACAACATTGATGGGTCCACTTGGGTCTAGTGGTGAGGCTACATGGGAGCTGTCTTCAAAATTGTTGGCAACAAGACTGGAGAGATAAGGGAAGCAGTGACAAAAATGATAAAACTATTGATAAGATTCAATTAAAAAAATAAGACATTGTTGGAAACCAAGTAACTCATCACATTTAACGAGCCATTTCTCAAAAATTTATCATTTATCATATTTGTATATTTCCTCTCAATTGCTCACAAAAAAATACACAAATAAGTTGAACAGTAAAGTTTTAGCAAATGATCCTCTTATCATTAAATCAAAAATCAGGATATCTTATAATACTCATTTTCCTACGGGAAAATTTCAAATAAACTCAATTTTGAAAGTCAAATGGCAATGACTCAGTATCAAACTCTAGAAATTCAGAATGACTAAAAACTATCAAAAAAATAAGCAAATAAATATCCATCATATTTAAGAATTACAATAAACATCAAGAAGGAGCTTTCAGGCTACCTGAATTTTTTTTTTTTTTAAAGACAAAATTCACATAACAAAAAAATGTTAACAATTTTAAAGTAGACAATTCAATAATCTTCAGAATATTCACAATATTGTTGCTGGAATTAAAAAACTCATTTACAATGTGCCTATAGGCTTAGAATCACAGTTGCAGGGGACACAAGGGTCAACTGGCATAACAGTCCACAAAGACAATATTCTACATCCTACTTAGGTGAGTAGTGACTGGGGCCTTAAAAGTTGTGAGCAGGAATCTAAAGTGCAACGATTGGTCTCTCTTCATCCAGAGCAAAAAAGAGGGAAAAAAAATCAAAGACGCCCAGAAACAATTAGTCCAAAGGGCTAATGACCATGTGAACCTGTGGTGCAGTATATTACTTGTTATGAGTCTTTTAGCCATGATCTTTGTGACTCCCACCAGATAACTGGGCAGGACTATATAAATGTGAGGTACTTTTTAAGGTTCATGACACCCTTGTGGAGGTGGGACAATGGAAATAAAGTATATGGAACCCTAATGTGGGGATTGGTCAGTTTTGCCATCTTGCTAGGTTTAATATGAGTCATCCCAGAGGCACAAAAGGTGGATCCCTCTACCATCAAGAGAGAAGCAGCAGGAGTGGAGTATATCCTTGGACCAGAGATCCCTGTGCTGAGATGATGGCAGAGAGATGGCAGCAGGAGAGGCAGCACAACCAAGAGACCTGCATGAGACACAGCAGCAGACTCACCAGCCCACACACCAAGAAAGCTGAGTGCCTTTGGGCAGAAGGCTTGCTAGCAGACTGGGATGGAATGAGTGCATTTATCAGAAGAGCCATAAGAGCTTTGTAACACTTGCCCAAAGAGGGTAGAGGCCAGGCCAAGAGATCAAGGTTCAAAGAGAGGTTTGTCAATAGGTCTGCCCCAGTGGAAGCTGTCCTGATTAAAGAACCGTATCCTGAGTGTTTCTTAAACTGAATTTCAACCCACTGCATTCCTAATAAACCCCATAATCTGAGTATTGTCTGTAGTTCTATGTGGCCACTGCAATGAATTACCGAACCCAGCAGAGAAGCACACAGTGCCATGGGAAAGACAACTGGTGTCAGAATTGGCAAAAAAGCGGAAAAGGGCAGTATGTCTGACCTCCACTTCATAGGAATTAACCTTGGGTAATGTTGCTAATGATAATTTTCTCCCCCCCTCGTCAAGTCAGAGGTGGTCAGATGATGCTGCCCCCACACCTTTTTTGCAGAACCCTAACTTCCATAACCCTGAAAACCAGAAGAAACAGATAATGCCTGGCTATCACTGCTGTCCCTTCTGAAAAGGACCACAATAGGAGGTCTTGGATAGAGTGGGAGAAAAATGTGGACAAAACTCAAATCATAAAAAAGACCAGGCTTACTGGTCAGATAGAGACTGGTGGAACCCCTAAAGACAACAGCCTTTAGACAGCCAAGTCAAGAACTGAACTCACCTCCATGGCACAACTTTCAGCCAAACAAGAGGCAGGTCTATAAGGTGAACAATAACACAGGGAGGTACGTACTCACTAGAACAATCAATTATATGAGATGAAAAGAGCAGTATTTGCTTAGGAACAAAGCTCAGAAGGCAGGAAGGGATAGGAAAGAAGAATGAAGGGAAATAGTAAAACACAGGGAGGAGGTAGGAAGAATGTTGTTACATAGTAGGGATTGCAATTAATGTCTCAAAAAAAAAGGAACATAAATTGTTGAATGGGAAACAAATCTGTTCTGTAAACTTTCACCCAAATCAGTTAAAACAAAAAAAAAGTTTTAATTCATTTACAATGTAGACACTCCACCATTAATCCTCCCAAAATAGAGTAGTTGAAAGTGAGTACCTATGACCCATATTTCAAAAACTACAAATTATCAATCCTCTCTTCTTCCAATTAGCTGCTGAAAGGAGTTTAACTGTACCAACATACTTTTAGAGCATGGTAAGATTAAAGAATTAGGTTACCTAAGATTCCACATAAAATGATACACCTAGAATTAGGATTCTCAGGCATGGAAATTCTAAAATTCTGACTAATCTCTGTACCTCTGATTTTCCCCAAAAAATACTGACACAAATCAAAACGTTAACCAATACAAAAAAGCAGAATGAGAAGTGGTTTTAGAAAAATATACTCTACATATGAACAATATATAACAAAGTAGATCGTGGGCATTTTTTAAACAAAGAAAAATTACTAAATGAAGTTCTTCAGGCTGAAAGGAAAGGATTCAAGACAAAAACAGATCCAAAAATAAATGGAAAGATTCTGAAGAAATAAATATGTGAGTGAATATAAAACACTGTTTTTCTTAGATTTCTTCTCCCACACACACATTTTTTTTATTGTGATTTAGGTGAAAGTTTACATTTGTTTTCCATTCAACAGTTCATACACATTTTTGTTTCATAACACTGACTGCAATCCCCACAGTGTAATAGTGTAATAGCTCTCTTCCCATGTCCTTCCATCCCAGTGGTTACCTTTTCCAAACTGTGTCCTTGTTTCCTATGCATTCCTGCCTTCTGAGCTTTCTCCCTGTGCAAGTGCTGTCCTTCTGATCTCCCATGGTTGATTGTTCTAAGCAGTTTACCTAGCTGGTGTAAATGTTCACCTTGTAGGCCTGTTGTTTGGCTGGAAGCCACAGGAATGAGTTCAATTCCAGGCCCAAAGGATGACTAAAGACCATAGTCTCAGGGATTTCACCAGTCTTTTAGACCAGTAAGTCTGGTTTATTTTATGATGTTGAGTTTTGTCCCACCATTTTTTTCCCACTCTATCCAGCATCTCCAATTTTGATCCCTTTCCAAGTAGCTGACAGTGGCAGCCGTACACCATCCAGTTACTCTGGTCTCAGGGTTTGTAGGCTGAAGTTCCTATGGTCCACCAGTGCCTTGGACTAATTGTTTTCAGGCATCTTTGATTTTCTTTACTCTTCTTTTCTCTGGATAATGAGACACCAACTGCTGCATCTTAGATGGCCACTTAAGTTTTTCAGACTCCAGTCACTACTCACCAAAGTACAATGTAGATCAACGTTTTTGCGTAATATGTTATGCCATCTGAGCTTCATGTCTCTCATGACCATGGTTTCTTACATTTCTTTAAATGATAACTGAATACTTTAAACAAATAACAATGTTTTGGAGGTCTATAGCATATGTAAGGTCATGAACTTTAAGGATATTAGCTGTTCATGAACCGTTGTAACATTAATTCAAATTATACTTGATAAATTAAAGACGTATACTGTAATCTCTGCTGTTGTTGTTAGGTGCTGTCAATTTTGACTCATAGCAACCCCATGTGACAGAGTAGAACTGACCCCATCGGGTTTCCTAGGCTATAATCTTTATGGGAGGAGCTGTAGTGATGCAGTGGTTAAGCACTCAGCTGCTGACTGGTAACTGAAAGGGGTGGTCAGAACCCACCAGCCACTCCACAGGAGAAAGATGTGGTTGTCTGCTTCCATAAAGACTACCAACTTAGAAACCTTATGGAGCAGTTCTCTGTTCTACAGGGTTGCTAAGAGTTGGACTCGACTCAACACCTCTTTACATGAGCAGATCATCAGGTCTTTATCCTGCAAAATTGCTGTGTGGGTTTACATCATCAGTCAACCTTTCAGTTAGCAGCTGCCACTAAGGTACCTTGTAATCTCTATTAGCAATTTCAAAAAATTCAGAGAAGTGTATCTAGAGATAGCAATAGGTAATAATATAGAATTTGAAAAACCCAACCAACAAGAAAAGAAAGAACAGATCAGAGAAACAGAAAACAAGATGATATAGTTAAAAACCAGCCATATTATTAATGAACAGTACACATAAATGGACAAAATAGTCCCAATTAAAAATCAGATAATAACAGTGGTAAACAAACAAAGCCCAATTATACGTTGTTTAAAACAGTCACATTTTAAATCAAAGGACTGATTGAAAGTTAAAGGAAAAAAGATAAGCCATGCAAATACTAATCCAAAGAAAGCCAATGTAGTTTATTATCAACGTAAACTGACTTGAAAACAAGTACTATAAAGTACTATTAAAATACTATAGCCCACTCAACCTACTGCCAGAGTCAATTCTGACTCATAAGAACCCCAATAAAGTTTCCAAGGCTGTAAATCTTTATGGAGCAGCTAGTGGGTTCAAACTACCAACCTTTCGGTCAGCAGCCAAATTTTACCACAGAGCCACCAGAGCTCCTTAAGTATTATAAAGAGGAACGTTATAAAAAATGGGGATCACCCCCTCAATTCACTATGAAGGTATAATTGTCCTAAATGTATGTCTCTAATCACATAGCCTCAAAATATTTAAAGCAAAAGTTGGCAGAGCTAAAAGGAGAAACAAATTTACAACTAAAATGGGATTTTTTATTTTTATTTTTTAATTAGGATTTGGGTGAAGATTTACAGAGTAAATTCACTTTTCATACAGCAGTTCACATATACTTTGTCTCATGTCATTGACCAAAATTTATAATGCAGCAGCTCCCCTCCCACTTCCTCCCCATAGTTACCTCCTCCCAGTGTCCATCCCTTCATACTCTTCTGC